AACAAATAATAAAAGAAGGTTAGTTTTATAAATATTTAAAATAGATCAAGAAATGCCCTCCAAGTTAGAAATTTCTTGGTGATTTAGCTGGACATGAATGGGTTAGACTTCGTAAACGAAGTGACCCTTAACCTTGACTCAAGTTTAGAGGCAAGCAAACCCCATTCTCAATGGATGGGTAGCAAACTAAATATGGAAAATACTTGTGCCTTTAGTCCAAGTTGGGGTGGGTTATCCCCATTCTCCATGGATGGGTAGCATTAATTTTTTCATTTTTAATAAAAAGCTTTTAGCTTAGCTTTGGATAAAATTCGAATTTTCTATCTTAATTCCTCCCAAAATGCTAGAAAATCACTCACAGGACATACAGACATGAAAGCAATTGAATAGCTGGCGTATTTCTATGGCTAATTAAAAAAAGTTGGCGTATTTGAATGCTATAATAAAACAAACGGGACCCATATACAAAGCTTTAAAAATGAGAAGCGATTACATCCCATATGGAATAAATAATAAAAAAAGGTTAGTTTTATAAATGTTTAAAGTAGATCAAAGAATGCCTTTCGAGTTAAAAATTACTTGATAACTTAACTAGGCATGAATGGGTTAGACTTCGTAAATGAAGTGACCCTTAACCTTGACTCAGGCTTAGAGGCAAGCAAACCCCATTCTCAATGGATGGGTAGCAAACTCAATATGGAAAATACTTGCGCCTTTAGTCCAAGTCAGGGTGGGTTATCCCCATTCTCCATGGATGGGTAGCATTAATTTTTTCATTTTTAATAAAAAGTTTTTAGCTTAGCTTTGGATAAAATTTGAATTTTCTATCTTGATTCCTCCCAAAATACTAGAAAATCATCACACACAGGACATCAACGACAGACATGAAAGCAATTGAATAGCTGGCGTATTTCTATGGCTAATAAAAAAAAAAGTTGGCGTATTTGAATGCTATAATAAAACAAACAGGACCCATATGCAAAGCTTTAAAAATCAAAAGCTCCAGATGATTTGGCCAAAATCATTGATTTTTTGTATATTAAAAAATTAACGAGTTAGTATCACAAAATTTAACTAAAAATGTTATTAGCATGGCTTATTTGCGCTCCAAAATCATACTTATTTCATAAA